GGGTTCCCTTCCAGCAGCAGGCTCCTGCAAACAGGGATCAGACACTGGAATAAAAACTCCTCATATCCACACACTCATCCACTGCATTTGGCTTGGGAATTCCTGACTCATTCCTCTTCTGTCCTGCTAAAGGATTTTGGGTTTTTGCCTCCCCCATTCACAGCAGCTGAGCTGTGGAGGCAGCTGAATTTTAATTTATGCTRATAAATCAGTGGGGGTGTAGCACACCCTGCATCTCTCCAGCCTCTCTCAGGAGGAGTGAGAAAAGAACTTCTGGAACATAGAAACAGAATTCCAGAGTGCACCAGCAGCACGGAAATGAGACCCACCAAAGCTCTACCATGAGCTTCAAACAGCCAACAGAGCATCAGTTTTAAATGATGGAACACCTCCTCCAATTCTCTGTAATACTGAGAAATTGGGGAAGAAATTATGGAAGAAATTGCCCTGTTCTAGGAATGGTCACTTTTGGGCACTGAGACACCAAACCAACACCCTGCCAGTGGGTGAATTTTCCTCTGGCAAACATTCCCTGGAGAACTCACACAGAACATGTGTTTCTAACCAGGCCCCCATGACCCACCCACCTGAGGTTCTCACAGTTGCCCAGCTCTGGGGGCACCTGGAGGAGRTCATTGTTCTGCAGGTCCAGAGTTCCCAGCTTTTCCAAACCCTTCAGCTGCAGAGGGTCGATGGATCCCACTTGGTTGTTGCTGAGCAGGATGTTCTCCAGGGCTGGGAGGTGATACAGGACACTGGGGAACACCTTAAACCTTCAGGAACAGACAGGAGGGATCATCAAAAACAGGGAATTCAAAACAGGAGCTCCCAGCTCCTTGGTGAAGTGGCTCCTTGCTGTCACATCACAGGAAAATTGTATCAAATTCAGCCCKGCTCTTTTTATTATTGCATTAAATAAATCTCAAGAGTTGCTCACCTATTAAAAGCAAGATTGATTGTGTGCAGTCTTTTCAGTGCCTCCATTTCCTCGGGCAAGGCTGTCAGAACATTGTTTCTGTCATCAAGGGAAGACAAACAACAATCACTAAACTTTGTGGGGTTTTGGTTGAGAATTCTCGGGATAGAAGATACGGATCACATTGCTCAGCTACAGAGTCTGGGACTGGTTCACTGCCTCAAAACAGGGCCAAGAGCACACCATGGATTCCCATTGCTGCCAGGACACTCCAAGCTTGTCCTCCAAATATTCTCAAGTATTGCCAAGCACCCATCAACTCCACAAACCCGCCTGGAAATTCAGCTCCTTGTTCCAGAGGAAAGCTTATCCAAGTACCCAAATCCAGGAGCCAAAGGGAATCAGCTGGGTCACTCTAAAYCTCTCCAAAATCCATGGATTGAGCTAATCCTGATCTAAACAATGCCAAGMGCAGCTCTCAGCAGTCAGAGGGGGCAAGATGACAACAAGGAATCATCTCTTGCCTCTGTTTCCAGCAGTGTGACAAAATCTACATCTTCCCTGTCCTAATTCCCAGGATTTTTTGGTGTGGTTTTCTTCTGGGAATGTTTTAAAATACCAAGATCTCTGAGAACCCTCTTCTGACTGAGGCAGCATCTCTCCTCCAGCAGTCTCAGAGCTGTTTTTGTGTTTTTGTCTCCTGTTTTTGTGTTTTCTGGAAGCAAAGCCCAAATTGAGGGCACTTCCTACTGCGGCTGCACATTTTGGGAGTGAGAGATGATTTCAGCGTTGCCATCCCAGCAGAACAGATGGCTGCTTCAAAAAAAAAAACAAAAAAAAAAAAAAAAAAGTTCCCAGGGAAGGCAGGGCAGCACACATCACCAACCTGAGATCCAGATGGGTCAGTTTATGGAGCGTGCACAGCTCCAAGGAAAGTGAGGAGATTCTGTTGAAGCCCAGGCTGACGTCACACACGGAGTCTTTCAGCTCCACCAGCCTGAAGCATAAAAAGAAAATGCTTTCATTATGGAATGGTTGCATTCTCAGTCATTAAAAACCCTGTTTTGTTCCACAAATCAAGGACATGGTGTGTTTCTTGGCTTTTCTGAGGGGATTTTGGGAAGATTGTGGAATGTCACCTGTGAGAGCTGCTGTTCCTCCAGCCTTACACGGGGTAAGGCAAAGCTCACAGTATTTCTCTACCATTTTTAGATCACATTTTCTCTCACAAAACTTGCCACCAAAGCCTCCTCAGTAACTGCCCTCAGGAGCTATTTCAGAGACCATGGCACAAGTGRCATCACTGCCACCTCCTGCCCTGAAGATGTTTTAACACAGACTTTATCCATCTTCTTCTGCAGCCAAAAAAAAAAACACTGAAAGAAATCCCTATTTTTTCCCCATTTTTTCTTTCTGCTCCACAAACTCCAGGAGTATCTGCTGCTGCTTGTGGAGGGTCATTTATTACACTAACATGCTTGAGTGTGAAGGTTTTAACAGCTCAAAAAGWTCCCTGTTGAACCCTTCAAAGAGAATCTCTATTTTAGCCCTAAAACAAAAAGCAACTAAATAAGAAAACATTCCTGTCTCTGTGTCTGGATAGGTAGAATGAATTCAGAATTCTGAACTGCAGGCTCCCCCACACCCATGCCAGGGAATGCAGCAGCCTGTCACACTAAGAGTGACAAAGCATGGGACAAAAGGGACAAAGGGACTCAGCAGAATCTCTCTGGAGGTGTTTCTCCCGTGGGATTGCAGCTCTCCAGGCTGTCTGCACCAGAGGTTCAATGTCCAGCACACCTGGGAATAAATCACACCCATAAATGTGGGGGGAAAAAGTAGTTTTACAAGTTTTGAATTTGAAATTTAGCTAATTAGGTGTATGACTGAGTCTTGGGAAAAGAAAAGGASAGTTAAYAGCTTGCATGGAGGAGGAATACTGCATCCTTGGCTATTGTTGAGAAAAGGAGATTCTAGAATGYAGAATTGATAAAGCAAGCAACTAGAAATTATAAATATTAGTAATGCTGTAGCTTTTGTAAACTCGCTAATTATGTATTAATTATTAATTAAATGGCTCTCAACTAATATATGTTTGATACAAATGTATACACTAGTTGTTAAAGTAGATAAAAGAGRYTTGTCCYACAATAAAGTACACTKTCTCTCTTTTTCACCCTTTTTGTATCTGTTATTTTGTATCGCTGTTTGGCCAACAGTGACACATAAGGGTGCTGGGGTCTTCAAAAAACCAGTGTGGATGGATTTGTGGGCTCCCAGAGGACAAAAACTTCCCCCTAACACAGAGGGATCCTTTATTCCCAGCAGTGCCAGGGAAAGTCACAGCTGGCACCAGTGACAGCACCCAAGGGTGGCACCAGCACCCCCTCACCCCAGATTTGGGTGCACACAGAGCACAAAAAGCTCCTGGGGAGAACAGGATGAGGAAAACCAAGGCAGAAGAAGCAATCATGGGTGGRAATGCCCTACCTTGGGGGCACCTCCCTGAGCTGGTTCTTGCTGAAGTTCACGGTGGCCACGGGATTGGCACCCACGGCGTCGAACACGGCGTCGGGGATCTCAGCAGCCTGCTTGTCACTGTGACAAAGAGGACACCAATTAACCACTGCCTGCTAATTAACAGGGCAACTTCATCTTCTTTTAGAGAAATCAGGAGGAGAGCACACAGGTTGAAGCAGAAAGCTCCAASCACTGCCCCAYRTCCACARTGTCACCAAAYAGGATTTTTTTCCCTCTYCCAACMMTTCCWGGTCCATTTAAGGAATTCCTGAGCAGACACTCCCCTAGTATGAGATATTCTGAGACTTTGTGAAAATCATGAAGAGTTTCAAAAGTGCTGAAAGCACCTGATGGGAYTCAGCACTTCAATGAGTTAGTGCAGAATATCTGATAATATTAAAAAATAATTCAAACCCCACAATCCCAATCTGCCTATTCCCAAACACAGCAATTAAAGGGGGAAATGCCCACATGCAGCAGGATTTGTGGACTGCTTGRTGTATAATGAAGGGTGAGGGGAAAACCCACAAGCATAAAATAGGACAGCRTTCTTACAAACTCGGGAATGGGTAATATTCCCAAATACCTGTATTCCAATAATTTCAGTGTGGTTATGGCGTGGATGTTGACCTTGGACTGGCTGGGAAGAGTCATGGCTGTCACAGGAGGCTCTTCATTGGGGCCAGGTCCTTCATCTGGGGACACCAGAGGGGTGAGTGACACAGCTCAAATGTTCTGAGCACCCCCAGGCAGCACCCACCACCCCCCTTTAATCCTGGCTTAACTGCAAATCACCACATCCAGATTATTTCAATCATTTTCTAATAAAGGTATTTTACCATGTTGGATTTGGGCTTTTTTTAGGGTGTGGAAGGGAGAAGGGTTGACCTTCTGCAAAAGCAGGGGAGGGAGAACTGGAGATGTGCTGGAGGCAGCTGCTCTGTGAAGCTCTGCCCTGTGGACTGGGGAGTTTGGAAACTACAAAAAAACAGGGAATTCCAACTGGAAATGGTGATCTGGAAYACCTTTATCCACACCAGCTCACCTGACCACAATTTCAGTTCAAGCATTCATATTTACAAACCCTCCCGTGTAACTTTTCTTCTGATTACTCCCCACAATCCACAAAAAAAACCTCCTGAATGCCTGAAATGGGAATTCCCACTGAGCTGAGCAGGGTGAGTCCAACCTTTCCATAATTTCCACTCACAGGAATTCAACAAAACTCCCTGGAAATTCAGCAGCACCCACGAATAAAAGCCTACTAACCACAAGAGGTTAGGGAAGGGCAAAAGGGGCAGACAGCCTGAGACTGATTTTGTAAAAGATCATCCTTTATAAAGAATATTTGTCATTTAGTATTATCAAACAGGATAAAAACCAGAAATATGAYAGCAAACTGCTGAGTAAAGGAAATTATTCATGCAGGATAACTGGTGGGGCCTGGATTTAAACAACCGCCCTCCTCAGGTTCTAATTCATTTTAATTTTTTAGAAAATTGTCTTTAAAATGCAATGGGATAAAGCAACATACCTTGGATTTTGCTTCGCAGATAYTTCAGCAGTTCCTGGGTGCCTTTCTTTAAAAAAGAAACAAAGTCACTCAGCAGTGTTTGTGCAGCTGGGGGGACAATGCAGAGGGACAATTCCAGCAGAGGTGGAGYTCACAGCATTCCTGACTAAAAATCCCACTGAAAATCCCACAGAAAAACCCTCTTCAGAGCAGCTTAGGAGCTCGCTCAGTTGGAATTTTATTTACTCCAGCTGAAAATTTCTGACCCTGAATCACAGCCTCAGGCTCCACTTTTGTAGTTCCTTATGTGAAGATTATTGCCAGCTCCAAGAGAAAGGAAAAAAGTTACAATAAACTTAATTTTCTCTTTAAAAAGCACAATTTGCTGTGGAAAAGACATTTACAATGTGTCTGTGAAGCTGACTGCTCATTGTTCTGCTACTTTTTTATKGCCCAAATAATAAACTCTGGGAGAATCACAGCAGTTTACATAATTTGCAGGGATTTTAACAGCTCCAAAGAGTTCCCTCAGTCCCTCACAGCAACTTCCAGTGGTCAGACACAGTTCCCACCTTCATAATCTGTGAATAGTGAAGGGAAATCTCCTCTGCACTGTTTGTTTTAGGGCAAAAGCAGATTTGGGGGATGGTTTTACAGGTTTTAGAATCAGGGGTTGGCCTGAAGTGCTGGATGTGAATAAACATTTCTTTTTCCAGCTGACACAGCCAAAGAGATTGGATGAATATGGAGGGATAAAGGGAATGTGGATGCTGGAAAGGAATTGTCACATGGGACAGGCAGGGAGAGGTGGGKYTGGGCWGAGYATGGTAAGGGAACMAACAGGGAATGAGYTGGRGAGTTYTGAGGGATGGGTGAAGGTCAAACTRAAAACTCAGTAACAGACACAGGGAGAGCAAAGTAGGGAGAAAGGCAAAGCTCCAGAGCCAGATAATGGATTGGGAGGGAACAAAACCAGATCAGGATTGAACAGAATCAACTGGAAAACCATCAAGGACCAGGAATGGGGCTGGGACTGGAATGAGAGGCCTGAGGAGAGCAGGTGAGCTGGGCAGGGCTGGAGAAGAGAAGATTCTGCTGCTGCCCTGCACTCACCCAGCCCTTTATCTCAGTATCCACCTGCTCCAGGCAGTGCCTGGGGAGCCCTAAAGCTCCTCCAGCAATTGCTCCTTTAAATCAAGTGTGAAAAACCCAGCCAGGCATGGAAAATYTGAGCCATATGAATGTACAGGGCTGGTGATGGATCCAGCAGCATGAACCTGATGGACTGCCCGTGCCTGGCCTTTGCTCCAGCAGTGACAATTCCAGCTGAAACAGCAAATCCCCACTGATCCTGGAAATAGCAGAACTGCAGCAGCCCTGACTCAGCCTCCTTTGCAGATTTTGGACAAGTGCTCATTAACTCAGTGCACACTCTGCTCCCTCCATCAGCACACCAGGGTTTCCCTCTCCTGACAGATGTTACAGATTTCCTTTCAACACAGACTTGACAGTGTCTCGCTTATTTTTGGAGCATCCCAGTGCTTTGGGAACATTGATTTTACAACCCTGGCAAAGGCACAGAAGTAGGAATGTACAGCACCACTGAGGAGAGAGGCTTGCCAGGGAAAAAAATAACAGGGAATTCTGCAGCAGGAGCAGAGCCCACACTGCAGTCTCCCTGCTGTCCTATGGACTCGTTCTCTCATGAACAGCTCACCCCCTTCCTTTGCTGCCTCCCTACCAGAGAACAGAGAATCCTACATCCTTAATTAAGACAAGACCTTAAAGCCTATCCTATTCCACCCCTTCCCTGGGCAGGGACACCTTCCATTCTCCCAGGCTGCTCCAAGCCCCAATGTCCAGCCTGGCCTTGGGCACTGCCAGGGATCCAGGGACAGCCACAGCTGCTCTGGGAATTCCATTCCAGGGAACAATTCCTTCCCAATATCCCATCCATCCCTGCCCTGTGTCCTGTCCCTCCATCCTTTGTCCCAAGCCCCTCTCCAGCTCTCTTGAAGCCCTTCAGGCTCTGCAAGGCCACTCTGAGGTCACCCCAAAGCTTCTCCTCTCCAGGCTGGACAATCCCAGCTCTCCCAGCCTTTCCTCCATCCTCTGCTCCTCCTGCTGCCTCTTCTGGATTCTCCCAGCAGCTCCAGGTCCTTCCTGTGCAAATGTTCACACAGAACAGAACCAAACCCYAATCCTTACTTGCAGCAGGTCTCTSCGAATGGTTCTCAAAGGATTKCCCTCCAGGGCCAGGAATTTCAGCTGAGGAAGGTTCCCCAGGGTGTAAGGCAACCTGCAGAGAGAAACAACTGATTCCAAAGCAGCTCTGAACCAACTGCTAAAGAATATGCAATGGTTTGGCAGATGGGATTCTGAAGCTCAGGTTCAAAGGAAAATATGCAGAATCCCAGATTGATTTAAGTTGAAAAAGCCGTCCCAGACCATTGGGGCCAAGCTGAGCCAAATGCCCACCTTGTCACCAGCCCTGAGCACTCAGTGCYACCTCCAGGAATTCCTTGGACACTTCCAGGGATGGGCACTCCAAACCTCCCTGGGCAGCCCCTGCCAAGGCCTGAAAACATTTTCCATGAGGAAATTCCTGATGATGTCCAGCCTGAAACTCTCCTGGCCCAGCCTGAGGCCGTTCCCTCTCCTCCTGTCCCTGTTCCCTGGAGCAGATCCCAAATCCACCCCGGCTGTCCCCTCCTGTCAGGGGTTGTGCAGAGCCACAAGGTCCCCCCAGAGCCTCCTTTGTTCCAGGCTGAGCCCCTTTCCAGCTCCCTCAGCCCCTCCTGGGGCTCCATTCCCCAGCTTCCTCAGCATTTCCAAATCCCACTAAGTCCCAGGCAGAACACAGAACATTTTCAAAGGCCCAGTTTGATCACAGCAATCCCACAACACCCCAGAGGGTTTTCCATTTTATCACTGAGTCATTCCTGAGCCCACAGGAAGGCAGGAGCTGCCAGCACCCAGCCCCAGCCCAGGAGCCACTATTACCTACTGATGTCATTGTTGGCCAGGTCGAGCCTCTCCAGTTTCTGCAGCACCGTGATCTCCTCAGGAACTGTCTTGATCTTGTTGTCCCTGAGCTCCAGMACACACAGGGAGCTCAGCTGCTTCAGATTCTCAGCGTTCAGGATTTCAATCTGATTCTCCCCAGCGTGTAATTCCTGTGGGAACAGAGAGCACCACGACTATGGTAAAATTATTTTAGAACTTCTCTGCAGCCATCAGTATGATGACATAGAGAATATGGAGATCTTGATTCCTTTTCATCTGCCTACAAAATACCTGGATATAACCTGGTCATGGTAAAAGGAAAAGCCGTGTATTTTCTTCATTGTTACAAAGAGAAAATGATCATGAACAAAGTTAATTCATCCAGAAAATGTTCCCAGAGAAAAAGTAACTGTTGCAGGCAATACAAGAGCCAGTTTTCAGTCATTCCACTCCTAAATACTTTTTTATTTTCTAAATCTGTAAAATTTTGCAAATTCATCTTTCAACAAGTTTGAATAATGAGGACAGTAGGAGAAGTTGCAAGTGGGGATGCATTGAACAGAGCTCTAAACACAGAACTGTCAACTGGTTTTGATCAGAGACCTGACAAAAGCTCGTGTTTAAAGTAACCTTCATTATTTCAAAGTTTACAGCAAATGCATTTCCAGCAGAGGAACCATTCCAAGCTCACCTTCAGTAACTTGCAGGARGGAAACTCTGGCAGGGAACGCAGTTTGTTTTTCCTCAGATAAAGCTGCTCCAGGGATGCCATGGTTGCTAATTTAGAAGGGACAGTCTCCAGGTAGTTTTTGGTACAATCCAGTTGTCTCAAGCCTGGAGAAGTAAAGGTGCAGTGACCAAAAGAGGATAAAATAAAAATGGCTTTCTACAGCAGCATAATCATCCTGGGGTTTAATTTAAAATGAACCAAACAACACTTTGCCAAACAGATTTTAGAAGTGATAACTCTGATTTTCTCGAGAAAACAGTGACTCTTTAAGGATATATTTTAAAATCCTGCAGTGTATTGCTGAACATGGCACAGCACTGGTTCTTTGGMATTAATAACCCAAGAAATGGGATTTACTTTTCATGGCACTGAGATCTGCAGGCAGCTCCTTGAGCTGGTTACAGGCCAGATTGAGGCGGACCAGGTTCACCAGCAGAGCAAAACTGGCTGGGATGGCTGTGAGGTGGTTGTTGGACACATCCTGCRGATTGAAACAGAGACAGAGAGATTACAGATGTCTGAAACATCCCAGGAGTGCTGCTAGTGCAAAGTTAATTAGTGGCAGAACAGTAAAATTAGATGGCTGACAACTGGCACGAGCATGAGAGAAGAAACAACTCCCCCAGGACTGACAGATCACCAGGGATTTCGGTTTTCCTAAAGTATCTGTCAAACCAAGAACAAACAAAAAACAAACCTACCAAACCCCATCCTGCAATAACTGACATCACACCAGTCACAGGAACATTCACAAAGTTACCACCGAAGCCATGGGGGTTTTACTGGCAGCAGGAAAACATGGATAAATCCTTTCCAAAGAAAGAAACCGRTTTGAATTTGTGCTTTACCAGCTCCTCCAGGGTGAGGAGCTGCCCCAGCCCCTCCGGCAGGAGGCTCAGCTCGTTGTGCTGCATCAGGAGGCTCCTCAGACGGGGCAGCTGCAGCAGCTCCTCAGGGAGGCTCCGCAGTTTGTTGTGGCTGTGGTGGAAACAYGGAACACAAAAAGAAAGGATAAACACTCAGGAGATTTTAGGAATGTAACTGCACACAGAACRTTTGTGTCCCACAGGCTGCTGGTCAGGACACTGCCACCATGCAAAACCTGGCTCCTGGGAACAATTCATTATCTTYATTTATTTCTTCAAGAAGACTTTCAGTTCTACTCTGAATTTGCAAYATTCCAGATGAATCCCAATTGTTTCTGTTTATGTACTTCACACAAGCAGTGGCRGCATAACCCCACAAAATTACCCCAGCAAATAGAAGATTCTGAACCTTGCAGCACAAACAAGATCTACACAATTATTGACAATGTGCATTATTCATGACAGGAAAGATTTTATCCTCAGAACTGCCAGACTGAAGCAAAYAAATGCAGGTATTTTGTGTGTGAGTATTCAGAATATCGCTGTTTGCACCATCCAAGCAATTGTGACTTTGAATATCACTGAAAACAATTTCAACAAACCCAAGACCACCAGTTTTGATCCCAAACTGATAACATTATATATGTATATAGTTTATAATACATAATTACAATTAGTAATCTGCAATTAATTTTTTGAAGGAAAGGTTGATATCCTGCCATCTCTCACTCACACCTGAAAGTCACTGCAGTGTTTCTCACGTTTGCTCTGAAACATGGCTTTACCTGACATCGAGTTTCTGGAGRTTTTCTAGTTGCCCTAAAGCAGAGGGAAGTGATGTCAGTTGATTGTCATGTACCTGAAAAAGAGAGGGTTTAGAATACAGTTACTATTTTGTACCTTGTAGGGGTTTTTTCCCAGGCCTCCCCACCGGGATGAATTTCTCCCCAGCATTCCATCTATCCCTGCACTGGCAGTGGAAAACCATTCCCCCTCGTCCTGCCACTTCAAACCCTTGTGAAAGGAACACACCAGTGCAGCGAAATGGAAAACAAAGATCCAGGACAACATTCTCCCACATCCTACATGGAAGTAGCGCTGAGCACCAAGGGATCCTCATACTCACATCCAGCATGGTGAGGGCAGGCAGCAGCTGGACATCCTCCGAGAKGCTCTCCAGCTTGTTGGAGGCCAGRATCAGCTTGGTCAGGTCCGTCTGCTCCCACCAGCGATCGGCAGCTCCAAAGGACAGGTTCTGCTGGGCTTCCTCCGGAGTGTCCAGGTTGATCCTCCACACGTGCTCAGGCACTGCAGCACAAACACGGCCGTCAGCAGAACCCTGCAGGTGTCTGCTCCAAACTTCCTCTGTCAGCRTGSTTTTTGTGTGTAAAAACRTGGACTGGGTTGGGTTGGAAGGGGCATTAATGATCATTTAGTTCCAACCCTTCTGCCTTGGGAGATGACACAGATATGTATGTCTGTGTATATATATATATATACATGTATACACACACATATGTATATATGTGTATGTAGAAAGAGACAGAGATAGATTGACAGGTAAATGGACACATAGATAGTTATGGATTTATATATGCATATGTATGTGTGTATACACACATAAAAATATATACACWTAYATACATATATACATACAYAGATACACACACATACACACACCCCTATAGTCACCCTACAGTCCATTGTGTCCTATGGACATTTCTCCAGAGCTGAAAACAAGAAACCGATGGAAACGTGCCAGAAACAGACAACAGTGAGTCGATTGCGAGCAGATGGTGCTCCCCGGSAGCCGCTCCCGCCCCGCCCGGACGCGCTGCCCGCACTCCCCGCGGTGTCCCCGGGGATCCAGGGAGGTGCGGGGCAGGAGAGACCCGCGGGCGGGTTCCGTTCACGCACCGTGGGTGAGGCCGCGTCCCGCCAGGTTGAGCTGCCCGCTGCGCCGCGCCAGCCGCAGCAATCCCTGCGGTACCGGCGGCGGTTCTGCCACCTTCCCGAAACCCGGCCCCGCTCCTCCACCGCCCGCCCGTGCCCGCCGCGCCGCCGCCATCCCCGCCACAGCCCGAGCGGGCCCGGGGCCGAGCTGGAGCTGCCCGCAGCCAGGGCCGATGCCGGTTCCGCCCGCTGCCGGAGCCKCCCGCCCGCCTTTCGCAGGCGGAGCCCCGCGGGTGGAGCCGGCCCAGCCCCGGCGCCGCCGCCATTTCCCGCCCCGCGGTGCCGAAATGGAGCTCCGCAATCGGCCSAGGGTCCCGGTGCTGAGCCCGGATCGCGCTGCGCGGGGTGCTGGACACGGGAACAGGAGCGACACTAAATAAAAAGGCGCTTTTACATCGATATATTGTTTTTCCTTTCCACGTTAGCCCGGTGCGCCGCTACACTGCAGCCTCGTGGGGTTGGAAAGGACCTTAAAGCCCCTCCAGTGCCATCCCTTCCTCTATCACAGGCTGCTCCAAGCCCTGTCCAACTTTGGACACTTCCAGGAATCCAAGATGAGGCACAGCTGATCTGGGAATTCTATTCCCCACCCTCACAGGGYATTTCTCCCCAATATCCCACCTAAACCAGCCCATGGAATCAGCACATCCCACCAGCAGCTCCCAGTGAGAGCAAAATGATGAAAGAAGAGTGTGGTCCCATGTTTAATCGTAGCTCCTTGCACCCTCAAGCAGCACATTTGTGTTTCAAACACTCCCCTCTTGGAAAAATGCTTCTGCGAGTAGTTCCATTGGAATTAAAAATAATTAGTGAAGGTTTAAATGCATCAGTCAAGTATGTGATTCAGGAAGCTCACACTTCAGACACTTGCTCTTCACTAAAGGATATTTGCCTCATTAGTTTCTTTAACAGTGTTCTTTAATTCCCCTTTTTTTCCCAGAAACATCCAGAAAACACTGGGTATTTCAACTGATTATTAAAAAAACTGTGCTTAAAAATCTCTTTAATGGACTTCAGAGGGTCAGTGAGTGCCGTGTGCCTCAGGGCCCCGGTAAAAACACCGTGTTGGTTTCACCTCATTCAGTTTCACTGCGCTCATGGAAATTGACGAAAATTCCACGTGGAGCACTGCTGACAAATACAAATTTGGAATTTAAATAAGCTTTTGGCRATTCAGTACGAGATAGATAATCTGTGATAGCTCCTAAGCGGAAATGTTGTAATRTYTCATAAGGGAGGCCAGTSAGTGTCTCCTGTTTTATGAATCCGRTGTGGTAGAATTTCAGCTTRTTTAATAAATAAAGCTTGTTTTGTTTACATTCRGGACCATTTCTGGGGAAACACACTAACATACAACAACAAACGCATCAGGAAATCGCGCGATTTGTACTATGTTAACTGTAAATCCCCTTTTTTTTTCCCGTCTATAACA